ATCAACGTCTTTTGCAGGGATCACGTCGTCAACATCATCGACATCTTTCACAGGGGATCAGATCATCAGCCTCACATCCTTGGCAGGTAATACATGGACCATATATCAACACATCATCAACATCTCTTCCTTGAACCACAGCATCTGCATCCTTTACTTGGATCATAACATCAGCATCCTTTACTTGGATCACACCATCTGCAGTAGATGGGACAAATAAGAAACCAGATTCGTCCAGATGAGGATTTATGGTTTGTATTACATCTTTCTAAGATATCAGCTGAATTGAACGGTTCTCTCAAATCAGATATACCTGCCCCATTCCTCAAACACAAACTTAAGGCACATCTTCAGACAGATTATATATTGCATTGTCCTTAATACTGTTCCAATTTTAATGTTCTATACTGACTAGTTTTAATTCTAACTGTGAATATCTAGTTGTTTTACTATCTTTGCTAACAGATTTTATAATTAAACTTGTTTCTTACCAATGAATGGCTTGCTTTAGTCACGATATGACTGACATAATGTGACTAAACCTCTTAACTCACCCACTCATAGTGTAACTTCACCCACTCATAGTGTAACTATTATCTTTACCATATGTTAATGGACTAAACACGTACAGATGGGGGCTATACGTATAACACTCCAAACCAACGTGCATGCGTGCATAATCCCATGGTCAGATTTCAACCTACACATTCAAAGGAGATACTATGGCCATTGAGAATAACCGTTGGTGAAGTGTCGCTTGTTTTGAATCCATTCACATGTATAATGGGTGCACTCTGGCACCAGATGGGACTATTGGATACCCTTTACCAAATGCTGACAATCAGGAAACTATACAGTTATGCATGTTCAGTCTGATCTATCTGAACTACTCGCGGCAATGTGGTTTTGACTCGTTCATAGATAACTCTACACAATGCAATTAAAGCAAACGTCAGCACTTGATGTTACAAACCAGTTCTGTACTATTCACCAGGGCGCCGTTGTCTGTGTTAATGTATGGGATTTACGATCACCTTAGCCCAAAGATCGCTTTGTACAAGTGCACCCTAAAAGCCAGTAAGGGTGTGGCCGAACGGGCTCCACTTAGGCAGTAGCAAGTGAGATGGGCTAAAGCAAACCAGAAACGACCTGTCGGTCACAAACATGCCGATGTGACGTTAAGTATTAACTCACTCACTCAGTAATAAAGATCTGCTGTATGACATCATGTTTGATAGGGATGTTAATGCAAGCTGACTGTTGTGATATGTATAGGTGCCCTAGCATGATCCTTGTGGTGAGTGCTGGGCAACGCTAATAGCTCTTCGCTCCCGTGTAAACCCGGGTTCAAATAGGTGTGTAATGTTAATGCATGTAAATGTGTGTATTGTCGGGTCAGCAAGAATATAGCTGAGCGCGGAGATGAAAACCAAACACAAACAAACAAACAAACAACCCTTCGTGTGGTTAGAGGCAGAAGTCGCCAACAAGCTGTCATTTGCGACAGACGGCGATATTACACTGCATTCAATTCCACATTTGCCAAATTCTCAAAATATATCCCCACGACATTATCAGGCCGCCTTATGTCCAGAACTAATTTTCACAGCTGTCATTTGAACTTCGCAAGTATACAATGCGCTGGCAGCACAATTCACAAATTTAACCACCAAACTGTTTTTACAAATTCAGCAATAGTTGTCCTATAACAGTGGTCTTATGATTTTATGAACTGAATTGTTGAAAAAGCCTCAAACTTTATTAAATACAGTTGTTGGCGATCTATAGCCCATTTTTACATTGTATTGTCTTCTTTAATTGGAATATTTTAGCTTTGTTCGCTAGTTTTATATTGATATCTGTGATTGTCTAGTATTTTTACTGTCCTTCGTTGGCAGGTTTTTATAATAACTATATAAATTGTATTACAATGTCAAATGTTCTCGTCACGATATGGCTGAAATATTGCCGATGTGACGTTAAATAATAACTCACTCACTCACTATTAAATACAAATGATCCAACTTTCAGACAGTTGGGAGTTCATTGGGTAGGTTTACACTCCAGTAAAACACATAAAGTGAAGGTCAGCTCTTGAATGAATAACTATGACATAGCGATGATACCACGTTGAGGGAGTATATTGTGCAACCATCATGCAACGAAATTGCAAAGCATGTCACGAGAAAAGAGGAAAGACGCATCAAGGACACACGTAACGTTTTTCCTGTCCACCATACAGGATTTTCAAAACTTGTTGGTGTCTCGCGTGCTGTAACTCTGAACAAACAGGAATTGTATTTGGCTCTTGACATTGTCAAAGAAACAGCACATGAAAGATAGAAAAACTAAACACACGAGAACAATTGTGCCGAATAGATTACATCGTTTGATACTTGATGACCTTCTGATCATGTGGTAGAGATATTGCCTAGGGTTTTTCCACATCAGAATAATGTTTTTACAAAATCGTGGTAGTTTATTAACATTTCGATAAGAGTTTCGAAAGAGTGTTTCTTCCTTGTTGTATTTGTTTTACTTATGCAAATACTGCCCAACGAGTTTCCTCCATTACTCTCCTGCCTGCATCATACATGGAAGATGAAAACTGAGAGTCAGTAAAGAAACAAGTGAATAGAAGATATCAGCAAGAGTTGTGGTGAAATCACGAAGGATCCACTTGCCAGTCACCCTAATGTAACGGTGAGTATCTCATACTACCTGTATCTTCACTAACGCACCTTATAAGAAACATGCATGTCAATACCTGATCAGTTTCCTCATAGCAGTATTCAAGCAGTATCACAGCGTCAACGTCGCAGCTGGTGTCACACATTGTACCCACGTGGGAATACAAGGGCGTTCAGTGTGACCAGCAAAATCTTCCACCACCTGGTTAACCCACAGCCCCATCAGAAATACAGTTCCTATATAACGCAAGAAAAGCATTCCTGAAACACCTGTCTTAGTGTTATTTCATTTTATTGTTTGAAAAGCTACGATATTATTTGTTCACGTTTCGTGTCACTCTTCCACCAAGCTCTTCACATGCCCTCGAGTATGCCCATTAAATAAAATGATAATTTGTTTCAGGGAACAAAATGGCTGTGTTGACATATTTTTGCATTACCCTCACAGTTATGTCCACATTTGGTAATGTATATTCAAGTTTGTATTTGTTTATTAAAGAGCATTATCAAATTCAACAATCTAAAGGAAAACCAAGGTCTATGGATAGTCAACATTTTTATTGCAATAAAGAGTCAGTGAGCGGGTGAGTTATTATTTAACGTCACATCGGCAATATTTCAGCCATATCGTGACGAGAACATATGTGACATTGACATGGAATAGATGTATATTATAAAAACCTGTCGACGAAGGACAGTAAACCAACTAGCATATCACAATTTCAACTAAAACTAGTGTGGAAAATTAAAACTAATAGCACTATTTGGACTATTGCAATAAAGAAGTTGACTGGCACTCATTTCAATAAGGAAGTTGACTATGTGTAGAACTTGGTTTTCCTTCATCTATACAACTTCTAAAATGCCTCTCGAAGAAGTTCAATCATCGAAATATTTATTCGGCAACAAAAGACAATGTGAAATTCTGATCGATCTTCAGTTGTTGGCGATCTAGAGCCCGTGTATTATATTGTATTGTCTTCTTTAATTAAAATGTTTTAGTTTTACATGCTAGTTTTATAGTCATATCTGTGCTCCTCTAGTGTTTTTACTGTCCATCGTCGACAGGTTTTACTCTTCAAAATGTTTTCACTTTTTGTTGTATAAATTGTTTTCTTCACGATATGGCTGAGGTATTCCCGATGTGACGTTAGATATTAACTCACTCACCTGTTCGATCTGTTGCCTAATCATGTCTTTGATCATCTTGTTTTAAGAAGTGTGAAATGTTGAACTTCTTGAATAACTACCGGGTATTTGTTTCACTCTGTTTCCAGCCACGCCATGCCATCACTGCTCAGACTGTGACGTCACGACAGGCGACTGCATCACAGACTGTGACCCTGGATACTACGACCAGAAATGCAAGTCGGAGTGCAGCAAGAACTGTATACACACAGTATGCGTATTGTCAAACAACGGCAATCATAACTGCACTCGGGGTTGTATGCCAGGATATCGCGGCCCAGGGTGCGAGACGCCATGTGACAGTCCAGGAGGTAACTGTACAGCATGTCCAGGTGGTTGTGATGGAGGATATTGTCAGCTGGGCTCATCCTGTGTTTCTAGATGTGTATACTACTACGGGACTGGCAGTGAGACCTGTACATATATATAGGCTCTGTCACATGCCAGACAAAATTGTAACCCGTCTGGTACCGGATAGGTGGATAGTGTAGGGGTGTAGTGGGGAATAGGTGGTGTTCAAGAATATGTGAGGTGAGGTTCAAAGGGGTTTAATGTTGTAATTGACAATATTTCTCTCACACGACGACGTGCATGCGTGTGTATCTGTATTTGTTTGTACTAGCCCAGACTTAAGCTGGATTTATAGTGCTAGCTCACTGAGATACCATGACGCAGTTAAGCATGAATACCCCACTCAGACACATTATACTGACTCCTAGGCGAGCAGTCATTGTACCTATGAATGCCGAGCGCCAGACAGGGACCAACAAGTACCATATTTTAAGGTCTTTTGGTACGATACGGCGGTGGATCGAACCCGCGACCTTCCGCTCTCCTGGCGGACGCTTTAACCACTACAGCACAGAGGCGGCCCCAAGAAGATGTAAATCATGTAACAAGTCTGTGTTGATTTATGCATGATGACCCGCTTCTGCTTGTAGATGATAATGTAATAAATGAGTGTGTATTTTTAGAAACTATTGAAACTTAAAATGTGTATGCGTGCAAACTTGGTCCCTTCGCTTTATAGATGCACAAGAGCCAATGCGACATAAACCTCAACTCAACAACCATGTATGAATGTGTGTATATCCTGTCCCCTTTGTTTCAGCTGATGTAGTGGATATGACAGTAAACGGGATGAAAAACGCAACAGTTGATGTCAATGAAACGGTCACATTCCAGTGTGTGGTTCAAGGATGCCCCCCACCGGACGTATCCCTGGTACACACAGGACACAAAACATCCACCATGGCCATGTTCAGGAAGAACAACACTCTGTATGAACGCGCTATACGTGTCCACAGTTGTCCCCAGCTTGGGAGGTATTCCTGTCGAGCCACGAACTTCACTGGGACATCTGACAAACAATTACACGTGGCAGAGCTGATTGGTAAATATACCGTTCTGTGTTCTTATATCACATCACTGTTTATATTGTGTGATCCGTATAATCCAATGAAGGGAGGCATAAAGACTGATCTACAGCCTCCGGTATAGATGCTGCGTCACAGAGTAGACAATAGGGTCTGGTTTGTTATGAAATAGTCTAGTTTAAAAATTACGGGAAATAGATATCCCTTTTCTGTATATTGTTTACGTTTGGGTGTTAACAATGATGACAACCATTAACTACGTTCCTAAGAGATTCTCTCATGGCGATTCACAAGGCGATATTTATGTATTTTCAGCTATTCCAAAGAAACAAAATGTTAAGAATTGTGAAATTGAAACCCCCAAGGACGGAACTTCCCCTTCTGGAAAAATAAAGTTCACGTTGTGTGCATACCCTGAGCCTGTTATAACGAAAGTACGTTTTGAAAGACATGGTGCTCCAAAAGACATCACATACAACAAAAAGTACAATCTCGCTATGGAGACGTCGATGCCCAACCTGTTCGAGTATACATTCACAATTGCCAACATTGGTGATGAGGACTTTGGGGTTTATACATTCACTGTTGCTTTCGGTGGACGAGAAGTCGATATACTGATTGTTGCTTCACATCCTAAAGGTACTACAGTTATTCCTATTAGAATAGATCAATCAGTTTCATGATAGTATATATATAACAGATGGATGTGGCACAACATACAACACCCTATACACCATTATGTATCGGAGGTCTAACTGTATTACAGACTGGTTTCCTGGATATCTGATCATGTTCATGTATTTGTCTGTGTCATTGTGCAACGAACTTTATGATGAAAGACTTTTGTTTCATGAAAATGAAAAAAAAGAAATATATATATATTTAACAGATATATTGAATTGTTATGATCAATCCCACTATGATATTAGGTTACAAATTGAAGCATAATATTTATTAGTTCATTGTAGCAACTGATAGGTTTAAGGTAGAAAGCCAGTGTACTGCATACGTTGCTAATGTTTACTCTATTTCCAGAAATAGCAGATACCACCTTCACTTCTATCGCTATTATTATCGGAGGTTCATTGGTTGGTGTCCCGTTAGTCGTTGTTGCTGTTGCCTGTCTTGTACGACGACGCAAGACTGTCAGAGGTGAGAAAGGTTATATACTCTTGGTACATTACCATCAGTTTTAGTCGCATGATGCCGCTTTGTTCATCGTCTTTTTGTTCTTCTTTTTCTGACACTAACATGCATTGCTCCCAGGCGATATTCATTTAAACTTGAACTATTTTGTGTATAGATTACTCTGCATATTTTAAGATAATCTGTTAGTGCATTGTATTAACCTGCATCCTGTGTGACAGATCTCTGCGACCATCATTATTCAATGAGTCACGGTATTGAATAGCATGTCTAATGTTGCACTGATGGAATTACTCGGCGTAAGCCCACACTTACACGCTCCCTGCGCTTCATGGGTAGCGTCTTCACCGTCATAATGAAACATAGAATATAACGTTGTTCCAACTACGAGCATTAAACTATGTGATTGAAATGTCCGAAATCATTTATTGTTTCAGACTACTTGTATATGAGGTGAGTTTGGGGAAATTGTTCAAACATACAAATTGCAATTAATGAATATTTATACGTAATCCCATATGTACTGCCAAAATTCGAAACTGCAATGTCATTGGAACTGCGTTGCACACGTTAACATTTCGTAACTTTAATTAATTATCACTTGGGAAAATCATAAAAGCTGAGAATAAACGTAGCTAGTAGATTGAAACATTGAATTGTTAAAGCCTTCTTGTGGAAATGTCATGCAAGACGAGGAAAATATTTCTGTTATCTGTCCAAGAGTACCACACGATAAATACACATCAGGGAATGTCACGATTTAGGTAATTCGTTAGCATACGTCTATGTTATGCAATATTTTTTGGAATATTAAATATATTTGGAGATATTCAAATTCTTGACATGTGAAAAAGTAAATAATATGACTAATGTTATGCCTTTATCCATACAGGTTTGGGCAGCCATACCTAACACCCACACATGAACCGCCTGGGCCACTGGAGAATATTGAATTTCGAAACTAGGACGTCATGGATGACTCTTATGCCTGATAACGTGGCTACTGAAAGACGCCAATCACTTTACAGAAATGATATGCAAGGAAGACTTTGATATACTTAACACTCGATCACAGACAAACGAAATATACAGTGTGCTTTAAAAACAAAGAAAGCGAAAGGGTCGATGACAGCCATGAAGAATAATGTGTGCTGTTGAAGCATCATGTATATACACAAGGAAGGACTTTCATATACCCTACAATCGATGACAGCCATGAAGAGTAATGTGTGCTGTTGAAGCATCATGTACATACACAAGGAGGGACTTTCATATACCCTACAGTCGATGACAGCCATGAAGAGTAATGTGTGCTGTTGAAGCATCTTGTGCATACACAAGGAGGGACTTTCATATACCGTACTTTTGATGACAGCCATGAAGAGTAATGTGTGCTGTTGAAGCATCATGTACATACACAAGGAGGGACTTTCGTATACCCTACAGTCGATGTATAGTTACAGTAGCCTTGGCCAATTGTATTATGTAACACTGTAATATATTTAATGTAGGTCATGTTATATAGGCTTTCTATGCATTCATTATTCATTTAAACTGCTCTTGTCAATAAAACGTATTCAAACCGAAACGGCTGGTTTCGAGATTCACTTACACATACGGAAGGAAAACAGAGATGATGAGGTATGCATATCAAGTTGGACTCCTGGCATGAGAAGGAAGTAGTAGTACAGGGTGTACTGCCGCAGATGCGGCTTAGCGGCTTATTTGTGGGAATTAAGCCTCCCAGCCCCCTTAAAAATAATAGCGAGAGCCATCATTCGATGTGACTCCAGCCTAAACCCAAAGTTAGGGTGGACGTCCGTGGCCTCGATATTTACGCCGCCCCGCGTCGAGTAATAAGTTGACGGAAATCACCAGCCTGTACGGTAGTTTAGGTCTCGTGGGCACTGAACGGTTACAACGCCTCATGGATACGTTAATCGATTATTGCTTTGAAACCCGAGAATGTGATGTCCAGTACTCCTTAATCCACTCCGAGGAATTCATGGCAGACCCACTCCATAAAGTCGTCGCCGAATATTTCGGCTACATTTAAATCCAGTCCAAACCCCGTTGCTAAGCTCAGGTCTAGGCTGAGGCGCATCGAAGGATGCCTCTCGCTATTTTTTTAAGGGGGTTGGGAGGCTTAAATCTCTAAGCCGCATCTGCGGCAGTAACACACACACACACACACACACACACACACACACACACACACACACACACACACACCGCGAAACGGTGGATATAGTGTAAGATTCCGGCCGGCCGTCCGTCCGTACGAATTGGAATATCTTTAGAACCGTTCACTAGATTCTTTTGATATTTAGTACTCAGGTTCATCACAGTATAAGAAAGGTCCAAGTCAGTTTTGGTGACCTTGACCTTCATTTCAAGGTGACAAGGGGATAAAATATTTTACCTGTTAAGCTATCTCAAGAACCATTTCCTGGATTTTCTTCATAATCAATACCAAGCTTTACCTAGTAGAGGCGCAGGATCCAGTCGATTTTAGTGACCTTCACTTAAATTTGAAGGTCCTGTCGATACTTTGAAGATTTCAGCATGTAAACCTGCATGTTAAGCTATCTCAAGAACCGTTATCTGGATTTTCTTCATATTTGACACCAAGCTTTATCTAGTGAAGTCGCAGGACTCAGTTGATTGGTGGTGGTCTTCACTTAATTTTCAAGGTCGCAGAGACACTTTGAAGATTTCAACATGTTTAGTTGCATGTTAAGATAGTCAGCAAGATATCGCAAAAATATTTCACTGGAGATTCTACATATTTCACACCAAGCTTCATCTGGAAAAGGCCCAGGGCCCAGTCAGTTGTGGTGACCTTCACACAATTTTCAGGGTCACAACGACACTTTGAAGACTTCAACCTGTTAACCTGAATTGTCAGCAAGATATTTCAAGAACGGTTCACTGGATTTTCTTCATAGACTTTCAAGGCTTCCCTTGAATGTTTTTCAATAAGCAATTTCTTTAGTACTATTTTTCATTACTTTATAAGTTTGATTTGATCATTTGCGGCGGGGGATTATATCACCTTAATGACAATGCTTGTTGTTCTTGTCATAATATATTGCCGATGTGACGACAAATATTCACTCATTCAATCACTCTGACAAAACGTGCACTAGAAGACACCTATCAATCGGTATTAGTGTTCAGTTGATGATATACAAGGTCAACCAGCTTTAATTATTTGAATTCGTTTGCCAACCCAGCCAACATACAAGGTCAACCAGCTTTAACTGTTTGAATTACTTTGCCAACCCAGCCAATATACAAGGTCAACGAGCTTTAATTATTTGAATTACTTTGCCAACCCAGATAGAAAGCATGGTCAACAGGCTTTAATGTTAGAATTCGTTTGCCAACCCAGTCAACATAGTCCAAGATCAGCCACTTATAATTATTTGAATTCCTTTGCCAACCCAGCTAATATACATAGTCAACAGGCTATAATTTTAGAATCGTTTGCCAACCCTGCCAACATACATGGTCAATTATTAGTATATAGTTGACAATCCAACAAACAAACAAATCAATGTCCGCTAACTTTTTACGTACTTCAATTCAGCTACCAACTCGAGCAACGAAGGAACGCGAGTCAGCTGGATTTACTTACAAGTTAACCAACGGACACATGACTGAAGGACAACAGGCTTCACTTGGTAGTATTCGACACAAAGCTACAGACAAGTTGCTTACATAGAGTCTCTTTATTAGATAGAAACATTGTTGTATTGTAGCAAGGCATCCGACTTCAGATCAGAAGGTCCGTGGTTCGAATCCCAGCACGGACTTGGGAAATGGTATGGCCACTACAGTGTGACTTATGTTCTACGACAAAGTAACATGGAGACATATATTATTAATGAACCTTGTTAAGAGCTGTTACGGGATGTTATTATTTACGCTGAGAAAATATTTCCTTCCGTCGCCAAAAGATATTGATCACATATCAACTTCCTCGTAGTAGGAACACTTGTTTGAGTGGCATTTTAGAAGTTGAGACGTTACAATATATAACAAGTTTTATGGATAACAACTTCTTTATTTTTCGTGGTGCGACGTTTCGATACAGATTCTTGTACCGTTGTCAAGCAACGGTACAAGAATCTGTATCGAAACGTCGCACCTCACGAAAAATAAAGAAGTTGTTATCCATAAAACTCTTGTTATATATAGTAGGAACACTGTTATGTCCGTTGTGAACATTGGGACGGTTTAGTTTCAGACTGATTATGTGTGTGTCAGTATTCATCAGGGTGTTACTGAAAGTAGTCGCCTCAAACAGCAAGTATAAACACGTTTCTCTATTTAATGTTGGCGCTAGTGTGGCAAGTATGAGTGAATGACGGTAGCATGTTTTTTGTGAATAGAGTACATGTAAACAGCTTCTGAAGCATATATTGTCGTTCTAATATTTAAAACATATAATACTCATGGCTGAACTGTATATAGTGTTGTTTTAATGATGTATTATATCATTCTTGTGCACGACATCGTCCTGTTTTCTTATATAAAGCGTGTGTTTATTAATATAACGCATGTTGTATTACTTAGAGCCCTATGGATCTGTTGGTGCTGTTCTGCTGTAGCTGTCTGTCCTTTTGTTCGGCAGGTGAGAGTGTTACAGGCCACTAACACTTTTATTTTATGGCATCATCAAATCCATTCAAATCTTATAACATATACCTTCAGCTTCAGGAAAAGATGTCAGTTAGCATTACAATGTGTAACATGTCGATCACGGACAATTTTGAAACATACGAAGATTCTGGGATAACTAATGGGTTTCCCACGCTGGTAATTGTTCCATTCTGTTTACACAGCTACACAGTGCCATGACAACCAGCACTGCTCAGACTGTGACATCACGACAGGCTACTGCATCACAGACTGTGACCGTGGATACTACGACCAGAAATGCAAGTCTGTTTGCAGCAAGAACTGTAGAAATAACACGTGCATTACTTCAAACAGTGGTAGTGAAAATTGCACCGACGGCTGCGTCGTAGGATACCATGGCAGTGGGTGCAACATACCATGTGACAGTCCAGGAGGGAGCTGTACAGCATGTCCAGGTGGTTGTGATGGAATATATTGTCAGCTGGGCTCATCCTGTGTGTCTGGATGTGTAGACTCCTACTATGGGTCTGGCTGTACGAGTTGTTCATTTATGTGCACGTCATGTAGCAGGTTGACGGGGATATGTGATGATAAGTCGGGTAAGTATTATTCTGTGTCTGTTGGTATCATGATAAATATTATAACATTCGGTACCTTCTACGTACTGGCTGTAAGAAATCTGCTCTATAGCTGGTTTTAATAAGGCTGTCATTGACACGTGTGCGACCAAATCTATCCTCTATTATGGCTATTCAGTCTCCGAATAGTTCTCACACTGGCCTTCAGCTGCCAACTGATGTCAGGACTAGCTGCCAAAACTCGTGTCCGGTGATTGGATGGGTACGTAAGTCCCAAAACTCTCAAAGTAAATTTCAAACTTACCAGGATTTTCAGCGTAGAAGTTTTGTGATTTTAATTTTGGCTAAAGTTTGACTGCAATCGCTGGCTGCTGAAGGGATGTTGTAAATCCACTAGGGGCCCATGTAGGTAGCAAATGTATTGTAAGTCCCCGTGGTCACTAGTGTAGTGATGTACCTTCAGTTGTTGGCCATCTATGGCCTATTTTTTATATTGTGTTGTCCTCTATAGTTAAAATGTTTTAGATTTAATTACTAGATTTACATTTATATCTGTGATATTCTAGTTGTTTTACTGTCCTTCGTTGACAGGAGTTTATACTCTGTCGTTAATTATTTGTTCTTTTAGTCACGATATGGCAGTTATATTGCCAAAGTGACTATAAATTTTAACTCACTCACTAACTCACGTAATTGGATGCACTCTAAAATTTGTTAACCGCTAGCGAGACCTAGGATTGCGCTTGCCCTCCATAAGTTATCTTACCTCACACGTAAATGTCGCTTTCTGATTGGCTGAGCGCCCTCCTATCATTTTCAGTGTTCCCCGTTTACTTAAGGATTGACAGTGTATTTGTTTCGTTGCATTGAGGGTCTTTCGTTGCATTGAGGTATGAAACTAAAAACCAATGTGCAAACAGTTTGCACATTGGTTTTAGTTTCATACCTCAATGCAACGAAAGAAAACACAGTCAATCCTTATAATTAAATTCAACAACAAATACTATAGGCTTTCAGCAATATTTTATTTAAACACAATCAAATTCATCGAAAACAGATATATTTGTTACCACCGATTAACATTTACGGTGTAAGAATTCGGTAATGGCGTGACATGACTCAGGTGACTCATTTACATAAAATGACACGCCTACCAAACCATTAGCCAATCAGCATAGAGCACCCCAAAACAGCTGTCAATCAACTAAGCTAACATCGGGGTTGCGAATCAGAGCGGAACAACACAGCTGTCAATCAACTAAGCTAACATCGGGATTGCGAATCAGAGCGGAACAACACAACATGACGCGTGCCGATAACGGTAAAGTTTCAAGTTCAAACATTTAAATTATTACCAGCGAACTGAAAGACACAGTTTGAAAAGTGAGAATTGGAAATGAAGCCCGATGACATGAAGTTAGTGGAACTGAGATTGTTAGTGGCAGCAGTATTTGCGCAAGTGGAAAGGGGCTGTGATGTGACTGGGATTGCGATGCCATGAACTGATGTTCCAACGTGCGCATGCTCTTGTCGAGGCGTTACAATGGCGGAAAGCGTCTCGCTAATTCTTAGTTTTTGAGTAGTCGTTGTGTGGCGACTATAACTACGCACGGAACTTTTCATTCCTATGGCCACTCATAAACATTATGTGACGAAGTTCAAAGCCAGCGTCACTCATGGCTTGGATTGCTGTGGCGCGAAGGCAATGAGCAGTGTATGACTGACTACATTGGGCATTGCAACATATGTCAGACATGAAACGAGTGAACTGGTATTTTTTGACTGGGGTTGCTGTATACCAAATGTTGTGTGCGTCTGGAGAACAAATTGCATCTTTATTACAGTGCGAAAAAAAGTGATCCGGCATTTGGGTCACTTTTGTCAAGGAGCTGGCGAAGTGCATTGACGGGACATTGGTTTATATCATTCGTCGCGTACATTCGTTTGTCGCTTTGCGCTTCATCGCTGCTGAGACCACCCTGGATGTTTTTTTGTTTCGTTTCGTGGGACAGTTTGACATATTCAACATTGCTATCATCTACCGCTAATTCAAAGGATGTGGGCGTAAGCTGCTGGTGAAATTCAAGACCACGACTTACAAATGGATTGCCAAGTCGTACCATACTTTGTACTGCATGATAACAGGATTGGATGCCGAATGCAGATAAGTGCTAATTTTCATCAGATCACTTGTTTCAATGATTGATTTATGTTGTTTGGGGCGTGGCCAGCCATGTTGTACATTGTACTTTAATTTAGCATCAAGCATATCATTTGCAGACTTAAACTGCTTGTCTCTTACAATGTCAATATCTCTCCCCATATCATTTAAGTGTCTTTTCAGGACAGAACGAACATTTTTTAAAGTGCAGCCGGCATATTTTCACATCTTGTTTCCTGGCTTTTAGGCTGTGCCCCAGTGTAGAAAAATCTCAACTTTGTGTTAAGTTCCTCTGGTGTAATTGTTGAAAAATCAACAGTCCTCCCCTCGCTCTCGAACGACCAATCTCAATATACAGAACGAAAACAATATCTAGAAACCTAACTATGACAGACCCAACTGTGTAAACTTTGAACTAGGTAACTTCATAGCAAATCATTTTTCTCGGTTAGATCTACAAAATTTAATCTCATTCTGATAATTGTTCCATTTTTAAAAATACAACTTTGTGCTGATGAGCTGTGTTTCGTTTTGAGAAAATATACGTAGGATGGAATTTGAAAATAATATTTATATGAATTGTGTATATCTACCTTGGAATAGTTTAACACCCCATTTTGTGTTTCTTTTTGTGGATGTTGATTGTCTGTAGTCGTCCATTCGAAGTAAATCATTATTTGATAAACGTTTGAAACGATGTGTTTGATATGGCTTATCATCGACTTGAATTGCACACGTCATCTCGTGATTTGCCGATGTTTTTGTAGATCTGGTTGATGCTGTTATCTCTAACAAACTTTCAATTTCTTCCAGGTCTAAATCATCCGGAAAATCAATGTTACCCGTGCTAAGAGTTGCAACGTTTCCGGTAGATTGATCTTCGAAAATCGACTCAAAATTCACCAGATCAAAACTTCCGTACTTGGAATCGGCCATCTTGTTGGAATGTAAACAAGACAAGTTGCAGACGACTGTTCGCTGACTGCACGTGGTAACCACAGTAACCAGTCAAATAATGTATTATGACAAACACTTTTTTATTAAATAAACACTTTATTAACGTTCACGGATAATTTTGAGTTGTTTGTTTATGTTAACCACAATATATCACTTCAATGTTTATCCAAAGTTCATTAAGGTACCCGAGTGCAAGGGAATTCCCTCGCTGTGTAAAGGTATTCCCCGACATTCCTCAGGTCAGAAAGTAGTCCGGTCCGGTGGTCATGGCTTATTTTTTTAGATTCATTGGGAAATGAAATCACAAGAAATGTTCCCAGTTAACCAATCAGATTGCCAGAATTTTAATGAACACAATAAAAATGTAATTATAAACAATTAACATTTCTATTTATTACCCACGAGGTCAAAGTATGGGTAGTTGCATACTAATCTCGTACGTCACACGAGTGCCGTATCGCGTTGACCTGTGTCGTTACGACTTGACCTGAGATTTTAACGATTTGATTGGATAACTAATGACCTCTGAATATTGATCACATTCTGACGTAACTATTTTTCATTCATAACAAACCCGTGAATTCATTCGTTCTACAACTTAAATGCATTGTGGGAATGTAAACATTGCGAACGTTGCCGTGTCGCTGTTTAATTGTGAGTCGAACTGAGACATTATATCCGTCGAAAACATAAACGCAATTTTCCCCAGTGATGTTAGCCGGATGAAGCAGCTGGAAAAAAGAAACGAGATGCTACGGAGTAGTTTACTGTAGGAGGTTGTACGAGGCGATAACAACTGACATGCATCGTGACGTCGGTTACCAAGGCAGTGACGTCATTACAGTGTGACGTCATGCAAATATTGTACTACAGTACAATACTCTTCCGCAACCTCTTTATGAAACCGGTTTCGGTTTGAAACCAAAACATAACAAATATACGCTATTTTGTCAATTTAATGCATGTAAGACGTGTGTAATAAATAATATACCACACTCGGTCTCATTATATACGAAGTATACGAAACTCATGACCTTCCTATGATATCTGACCTCGCTTTCGCTCGGTCAGATACCATAGGAAGGACACTCGTTCGCATAATTCGTATGTGATGAGACCGAGTGTAGTAATCTCTATGTACCCCGCTGGGAATGCCGAACTCATTTGGTACTTCGTTGTAGTAATTCTTCATAACGAATAACATTGAATCACGTATGATGTACGTAAAGTACCGATGTTTTGAGAATGCAAATCGATGGAAGGGAGATAACTCTAAATCTGTTTTTCTTACCGTCTGCAGGCAATGGCTACAAAACGTTTTGTACCCGTGCTTCAAACAATTCAAAATTAACATTGAGCTGTTCGGTAAGATAAAGACATGAACCCATGGACCCCTGTGACCAGTGAACAACTTCTAATTATAATGTAATGTAGAAGGACTAAGTAGGAGACACATTTCTGGGGTGTCCCGCCTTGATATTGCTGAAATATTGCTAAAAGCGGCATAAATCTCAAATATTCACTCACTCACTCTGGAATCAAGCGATATCAACACTGCCACTGGTTTTGCACCCATCTTTCCGTTTGTATCTTCGTGTCATTAAAACCCAAACGAATAGGGGTTTAAATATCAACATCATTTCAGGTCAGTGGAGATACATTGCATTGGTGGCTTCATCAGTGGTATGTGTATTCTGCATCATCATGGTAGTTGTAGCCTACATCCTGAACCTTTGGGATAAAGGACAGTGAGTTTGAGATAATATGTCTTCAGTGTGTATGTGTGTGTATTCTGCATCATCACGGTAGTTGTAGCCTACATCCTGAACCTTTGGGATAAAGGACGGTGAGTTTGAGATAATATGTCTTCAGTGTGTATGTGTGTGTATTCTGCATCATCACGGTAGTTGTAGCCTACATCCTGAACCTTTGGGATAAAGGACGGTGAGTTTGAGATAATATGTCTTCAGTGTGTATGTGTGTGTATTCTGCATCATCACGGTAGTTGTAGCCTACATCCTGAACCTTTGGGATAAAGGACGGTGAGTTTGAGATAATATGTCTTCAGTGTGTATGTGTGTGTATTCTGCATCATCACGGTAGTTGTAGCCTACATCCTGAACCTTTGGGATAAAGGACGGTGAGTTTGGGATAATATGTCTTCAGTGTGTATGTGTGTGTATTCTGCATCATCACGGTAGTTGTAGCCTACATCCTGAACCTTTGGGATAAAGGACGGTGAGTTTGAGATAATATGTCTTCAGTGTGTATGTGTGTGTATTCTGCATCATCACGGTAGTTGTAGCCTACATCCTGAACCTTTGGGATAAAGGACGGTGAGTTTGAGATAATATGTCTTCAGTGTGTATGTGTGTGTATTCTGCATCATCACGGTAGTTGTAACCTACATCTTGAACCTTTGGGACAAAAAGACGGTGAGTTTGAGATAATATGTCTTCAGTGTGTATGTGTGTGTATTCTGCATCATCACGGTAGTTGTAACCTACATCTTGAACCTTTGGGACAAAAGACGGTGAGTTTGAGATAATATGTCTTCAGTGTGTATGTGTGTGTATTCTGCATCATCACGGTAGTTGTAGCCTACATCGTGAACCTTTGGGACAAAAAAGACGGTGAGTTTGAGATAATATGTCTTCAGTGTACATATGTGAGTGTGTGTTTTCGCGCGCGTGTATGTTTTTGTGTGTGGGGTGTGCATTCTGATGGGGCCGTGTGGTAGCCTTGTGGCTAAAGCGTCCGCTCCCTTCGCGCCGACGGCCCGAGTTCGATTCCCAACATCTGTATAATGTTGGAAGCCTATTTTGGGTGTCCCCTGCCAGGGTAGGAGTTGAAGCAATAATGATTAACATCATTATTTGGTGATGTGAAAAATATGATTTTCAGTAGAAATTGATTGCAATTTGACTAGGGTGTGCTGCAACAATAGACACCCTTGTTGATATTGAAATTTATGTTGCAGACGAGAGGCACATACAGCAGACCAAAGCTCCTCATTTGAATCATTTCGAAAGGCGAGTGAAATCTACAGTGAAATAAGTCACAACCACGTGGGAAGTAGTGGTGTTTCTGTAGTGACAACGACGTGGGTACAGTAGTGGTGTTCCTGAAGTGACAACGACGTGGGTACAGCAGTGGTGTTCCTGTGGTGACAACGACGTGTGTACAGTAGTTGTGTTCCTGTAGTGACAACGGAGAAGGTACAGTAATTGTGTTCCTGCAAAGACAACGACATGGGTACAGTAGTGGTGTTCCTGTAGTGACAACGACGTGGGTACAGTAGTGATATTCCTGCAATGACAACGACATCGGTACAGTGGTGGTGTTCCTGTAATGACAACGACGTCAGGACAGTAGTGGTGTTCCTGTAATGACAACGGCGTGGGTACAATAGTGGTGTTCCTGTAGTGACAATGACGTGGGTACAGCAGGGGTGTCCCTGTTGTGACAACGACGTGTACAGTAGTGGTGTTCTGTAGTGACAACGATGGGGGTACAATAGTGGTGTTCCTGTCGTGACAATGGCGTGGATACAGTAGTGGTGTTCCTGTAGTGACAATGATGAAGGTACGGAAGTGGTGTTCTTGTAGTGACAACGACGTGGGTACAGTAGTGGTGTTCCTGTAGTGACAACGACGTCGGTACAGTAGTGGTGTTCCTGTAATGACAACAACGAGGGTACAGTAGTGGTGTTCCTGTAGTGACAACGACGTGGGTACAGTAGTGATGTTCCTGTAATGACAACGACATGGGTACAGTAGTGGTGTGCCTGTAATGACAACGACAACGACGTGGGTATAGTAGGGATGTTCCTGTAGTGACAGTGACGTCTTTACAGTAGCGGTGTTCGTGTAGTGACAACGATGTGGGTACAGTAGTTCTGTTCCTGTAGCAACCACCAGTGTCTATAACATGAAACTCTGGTAAAAACTGGTAGTGTCATTTCATCCTGGCCTCACTCATATATCACCGCGGGATGACAAAGAAGGAAGATGGGTAGATCAGATTGTAGTTTGTGTTTTATGTCACATTTGTACTTAAAGTGCCTGCATATTCATTATAAGTCCGTTACTGCTGGGTGCATATCATTATGACCAAGTTTGTCCTCCTCACCATTGCTAGTTTATGCTATGTTGTCGTTGTATAAAGTAGCACGTCACTCACTGCAATGTAGTATTTCCTAGCAGTAATTTGTATCGATTGGGCGACATTGTTAATTACAGAATAAAATTGCCGATTGTATAAAATCTATTTGTTATTTTTGGTTTCACATCAAGTTATCTGTAAGCCCCAATTGTTCCTAATATGTTGATCTACTTTCAGTTGTTGGCAATATATAGTCTGTTTTTATATTGTATAATATATTGTATTATAGATTTACAACTGTTTTAGTCGCGATAACCCCTGAAGGTCCACGTTAGAATATTGGCCTTCAGTAACCCATTCTTGTCATAAGAGGCGACTAACGGGATCGGGTGGTCAGGTTGGCTGACTTGGTTAACACATGTCATCGGTTCCCAAATATATTCCAGCTATATGGCGGCAGTCTGTAAATAATCCAGTCTGGACCAGACAATCCAGTGGTCAACAGCATGAGCATCGATCTGCGCAATCTGGAAACGATGACATGTGTCAACCAAGTCAGCGAGCATGACCACCCGATCCCGTTAGTCGCGTCTTACGAAAAGCATAGCCACCTTTTCGGGCAAGCATGGGTTGCTGAAGACTTATTCTATCCACGTACGAACGTGCGTGTTATATACCACATATACACGCGCTCGCTCACACATTTATGTACGTAAATACATATGTACGGGTATGCGTGCCATATACCACATATACCCACTTCCACATATACGCTCTTCCACATATACGCACACACGCGCACACACTTATGCGCCAGCAGTCTGTAAACAGTTACATGTTGATCCTTTAATCCGATGACTGACATCATGAAGATATGTCTGCACAAGTTTGACACGGTGACTTGTATCAACCAAATCAGCGAGCCTGACCTCGCAATCCCGTTGTTTGCCTCTTACGACAAGCAGGAACAGCAAGAGAGTAAATCAGAATCCGTAACGACCCATACAGCAACACCAGCATCAACATCACAATAGCGACTGTGAATGTTTGGCTATGTAATATACAAAGATACAATCCATTGATTGATATTATGAACACAAATTCATACATTTGTTTCAAGGGCCAAGGTCCATAGCTGATAGTATATTTTAGTGATTTAGACGCTGGATGAAGCCACAGTTGACGTGAATTTGAAGTGTCTTCGTTATATATGTAAACAAAAGTAAACCCAAAAAACACAACACTGAATAATATAATATTATTCAAATATTAATATTATATATATAATTACAACCCTATCATCTTTGTGCAAACAGGTTTCTTCCGTATTGTAAATGATGAACAATGACAGAAAGAGAAATTCCTTCTTCTAAAGTTCATGGCATCGGGGAGTTCATCAAATCGTAGCAGCACCGAACACCTGTAATCCGATATAAGCCTACCACGTGTAACACATGCTCAGGTATAACATGTGTTCTGTAATTCATCTTCAAGTTGGATCGCTATATGGGTGAAATGAAGTGGGTGCGATATTAAATTTTAACTGACACCTGTTTTCGTAATTACAACCAGCTCAGTGCCAATTTACCATTATTCACAAAACATTTTCACCGGTGATGGAAACTGCACTGACGGACGTGCGAGGATATTCTGGCATTAGCTGCAACATACCACGTGACAGTCCAGGAGACATGTTCTATTGCACATAAATAAGGTTTATTCGAGTGCTGCAAGGCTAGGTTTCCCTGTATTTTGTATTAACATGAATTTCAATGGCAATGCGCCAAACATCACTTGTCCAATTTCCGCTGGCTGTAAATCAACTTGAAAACGTTTCCGCCAACCATGGAAAAGCTCTCTGTCTGATCGAAAGTGTTACTCAGTGCGTTTCATTTGTGTTAATCGATATGGATGGGCGTAGTATGTTTTGGTCAAGGACGTCAGATACGAGTTACAAGTTTTTTCAATTCATAACTGTTGATGGATGTGGTATGGTGTTTCTCTATCATATCTAGTGTAAAATGCTTGCTGGGTGTACTTGGTACCGGATCAGATCAAGTCAGCAGCAGCAACATTTTAAATTCCAGGTCATTGTTTATTTTGTACACTGTGCAATGAGGTGATGTGGAATTCGGTTTTACGTCGTACTTGAGAATAGTTCGCTCATATGACGACGTGCATGCGTGTGTATTTGTATGTGCGGCTGCTTGTACTAGCCCAGAATTAAGCTGGTTTTATAGTGCTAGCCCACTGAGATACCATGCCGCAGTGGAGCATGAATACCCCACTCAGACACAGTATACAGACTCTGAGCCGACGTGTCCTTATTGTATCCATTAATGCCGAGCGACATTCAGGGATTAACAAGTACCATATTTTAACGTCTTTTGGTATGACGCAGTCGGGGATCGAACCCGCGACCTTCCGCTCTCCGGGCGGATCCTCTAACCACTACACCACGGAGGCGGTCCCATTGTGCAATGTCCGAGAGTGAATATATTCATGTGAAGCAACAGATGAGCTCGACTTCATTCACACCTGTGTGTCAGATTGCGTCAGGATAAAGAACATATGATCAAAAACCTTGTTATATTACTGATTATAATTTGACTTGGAGATGAAAGTTACACTTCAAGCTTCTATGCGTCCTTTTCCTCATACGAAATACTTGGTTTTGATACTGGACGTATTAGTTATAACTGTTATTTAAATACATATGTGCCTGCCTGCGCAATCCATGTCGACTTCATAACAGCTGTGCATTTAAGAGTGAGTGAGTTTAGTATTCCGCCGCTGTAAGCAATATTCCAGCAATATCACAGCGGTGGACATCAGACATTATTGCCCACTTGGGGAATGGAACCCGGGTCCTTAGCGTGACGAGCGAACGCTTTAACCACTATCCGACCCCACCACCGTGCATTTAAGGATTTACATTATACTTACTCGGAAACACTAATGCTGCACACAGTTCAGTAATGGATAGACATAATGACACTAATGCTGCACACAGTTCAGTAATGATAGGACATAATGACACTAATGCTGCACACAGTTCAGTAATGGTTGGACATAATGACACTAATGCTGCACACAGTTCAGTAATGGTTGGACATACTGACACTAATGCTGCACACAGTTCAGTAATGGTTAGACATAATGACACTAATGCTGCACACAGTTCAGTAATGGTTGGACATAATGACACTAATGCTGCACACAGTTCAGTAATGGTAGGACATAATGACACTAATGCTGCACACAGTTCAGTAGTGGCTGGACATAA